AGTTTTTTTTATTGGACTGCATGTATACTTCATAAAAACTGTTCATATGTTAGGGTTAGTTACTTTCTGTCTACAGTTTTATTGTACAGGATGATTTAAGCACATTTTATGAGTTATGAGTGCAGAAATTCAAATAATTATAAAGAATCCATAAACGTGTCACTATATGTTTATTTAAACCAGCATCGCCACAAATGAAGCGAAATCATTTCTACTATATCATTGCATCTTTCACTGTGTTCTTCCGTTTCAGGCCGACTGCTCGATGCCACCAAGAAATACATGTACGTCTTCCTGCTGGCAGGAAGCGAGGTGGTCCTCTCCGCTGTGGTTCTAGCTACCTGCAACTTCTTCTTTATCAAAAGTAAGCCCCAGGAGCCATCTCAGAAACTTGAGTGCATCACAGTCACAGATGACACCAACACAGAAGTATGCAGCAGGCCTTCGGAGGTAAATGATGAAGAGGAGAAGGGAGAGAGAGAGGAGCAAGAGAAGGAAACAAAGAGGGAGGCATTGAAGGAGTTGAAGGAGGAGGAGGAAAAAGACAAAAAAAAAGTAGACGAGGTCAGGCCAAAGAGCGTAACAGTGGACTCACAGGAAGTGGAAAAGTTCTTGAAAGAGCCCCAATTAAATGGTGGCATGACCCCCAGTCCTGAAACATGCCTGTGAAAATGGGTAGAAGATGCCGGACGGGATTATTTTCCACACAGCTCAGTGACGTGAACGGGACCACACCGTACTGGATAGTTATTCCCCATGATGTAATGTTTAACCCAGGTGTTCATGTCTGATATGGCTGATTAGAGTCACTGCCGTATCAAATACTAATAGTTCTGTGAGCAATATTTTATCTCTAGATGTTTTTAGTGTGGTTAGCTGTCACAATACTGCCTTGTCTATACAGTTCATGTTAAAAGCCACCAGCAAATAAAGTTGAGGGATAATTTGAAAGAATATTCTGTGTTTTTACACATGAGAAATTCAGTAAATGTTGTGTAAAAGGCTGTTTCAGCTTGTTTTAAAGGGTCAGGAAAGCTTTATGTAATGATGGTTGTGTAATAACCAGAAGCTCTTCTCCACCCGATGTCCAAAGCTGAAAATGATCTTCCCACTTGATCTGTGCCGTCACCATTGAGATTGATAAAACGATGTTTTTTAGGACGAACTTTCTAAAGGTTGTTCCCAGTCAAGTGGTAGCTGTGTGTGGATTAGAGGCAGGCTCCAAATATTATTTGTAGCTTCGCTGTGATGTTAGGATTAGTTAAAAGTGTGATGTTTTAAAGAAGGAAGCAGTCGGTTCAGTCTGAAGTGCTTTTGGTTGAAGGCACCGGTCTCTCTTACCCTCCTTCACTATCATGCATCAGATGTTTTCAATGCACTGTGGTACATGTGTTTGACTGTGGGTATCTGTTGTTGGGCTTAATGTGCTGATTGTGTTGTTCATCCCCCAAAAGCACCAAGTTACGCTACAAAGCAAGTTATATACAGATAGGATAAAGACGCAGTGTGTTTGTATGGACCAAAGGACAGGCTGACTATATGTGTGTCCCTTTAGGATGAAACAGGTGTGGTTAAAGCATCGATTTACTGGTGACGATAAAGCTTTTTCCTCATGTTGCCTACATGCTTTGTACTGCCTGTACTGTTTGTGTTTCAGTGAAACAGAACATTAAAGGGATTGTTTTGGCTTTGTGTGACTCATTTTAATTTTCACAGAAATAAGTGCAGAGATGCAAACTTAGTGAATGTTTGAAAGATGGCAGAAAGCATGAAAGGAACTCCTGGGATGGAACTGTGCAGACTTTTACCATTACTATTACTATTATGTTATTTTGTATAACTTTTGCAGGCACCTACCAGGAAGCTGTTTTACAGTGAGGAGAAAAAAGAAACATATTTTCTGTTATAAATATTGTATCTCTCAGATTTGGATAAAGACCAAACACGTAGCTAAAAGAGAGTGACTACTGTAACTACTGCTCTATGTCTAAATCGGTAACTGAAAAAAAAGCTGCAGGGTGCTTCCTGAAATACATTTTCTCAGCTGTGTTTGCAATACTTGGATTCATAACCATCGGTTCTCTCAGACCATTACTTTAAGTAAAATCTAAGAATCAATAAATAAAATCTAAGTTGAAATCAAACGGGATTGTTACAATTCAGTAAGGAGACAGCAGGAAATCTAACACAACAGCTGGGTGAACATTGAGATCTGTCAGTATCCATGGTGACGGGTGATTTCTCATGCAAAGATGAGTGAGTGGGACTTAGCTTAGTAAAGGGCCATAATGGTTACATTTGGATCATTTAAAAGCTTGACTGGTTAGTAGGACGGCCTACCGCAACAGCAACCTGCCTGCAATAAATGCTGGACGTCTTGTTTCTTTTAAATTGTGTATGTTATATGTTGTGTTTTAAACAAACAGAGCTTGTCGCTGATTGTTATGCTTTGTCTTTATTTTGTTGTTTAAAGCTAAAACACGAGTCAGTGTTATTTGAATGTAGAGTATTTGCATTTCTGTTGTGAAGCTGCAGTTAAACAGGTGGTGAGGAGATATGTGACTATGTGAGCTTATATACTCTCAAGCCCATGTTGTTTTTGTTTTTATTCCATTAACTGTGTTACCATGTTGACTGTTAATCCGAAAATGGAATGATGTCGCTGTTCGCACCTTACTACTAATTCCTGCTGAATGTCACATCAGTCAAATACGACCGATCCAGACT